GAAACTCGGAGGAGTGAGGAGCGGCGCGCTGCCGCCCCTCGACGCAAGTGAGCGCGGGAGGGGGGGCAGGGTCTCAGGGAGGCCAGAGACCAGGAGCCGGGAGTGCATGCCGCGCAGACGCTGCAGGGAGGGGTGACCAAGACGGTGGTGCCAGCGCTGAGTCTCGTGCGTGAGTACTCTGCACGAGCAAGACGCAGCTAACTGCCCTGACGCAGACGCTCGACTCGACGCAGCTACCTGACCTGACTCAGCCACCTGTGCAGACGCAGTGGTCAGTGTGTACAGACTAGACCCAGGCTGACGAGTGAACGTAGCCAGGTGACGGCCAGTCCGGGAGCACGTACAGATCGCCACACGCTGCCCTCCAGGAGTAAAGGTATCAACCCAGACATCCTGAATGGCAGTGTTGCTCGCCAAGTTCGTCGAGAACGTGGGGAGGTGGAGACCTGACAAAGAACCGGAGGGGACTGCTGGACAAGGGAGGACCGTGGAGGCTCTCGCAACCACTGGGCCCCCAGAGGGGTCAGCCAGTGAGTCTGGGACAGGTGCTGTGAGTGGTGTGACTGTGGTGCAATCACGGAAGAAGCAACGTGACGCGCCTGAGTCAACAGTGAAAGTGTGCAAGACCTCGGCTGAGGCAGGACCTGTGGTAGTAGACGCACTAGCACCTAGAGCGTCGGTAGACTCACGGGCACCTAGAGCTGCAGCAGACTCACTAGCACCTGGAGCGGCAGCAGACTCACTAACACCAAGAGCAGCAGTACTAACAGAACGATAACCTCCATCACCAGGACGACCTCGCTGAATAACCCACTCACGAAGCTGCCGAGGGGTGGGGTCGTCCGGGAGAAGCAGTGCCCGCTGCTGTCCACCCCTGGCCGCAGGAACTGCCGCGAAAGTGGCCATGACAGACAGTGACGGTCAGGAGTAGGTCCAGCACCTCCGGCTCCTACAGCGCTAGCAGCACCTCCTGCACTCCCAGCAGCACCTCCTCCACTCCCAGTAGCACGAGTAGCAGCAGCAGTAGTAGTAACAGCAGCAGGGCGGCGCGCGGCCAGAGCAGGGCGGCGCGCGGCCAGAGCAGAGCAGTAGTAGGCAGTAGCTCCTAGGGCAGAAGCACCTAGGGTCCTTTTTTTGTTTTTTTTTTTTAATAAACAATTTAATTATATTTAGGGTATAGCAGGGCGCTGGCGCAGGGCAGGGCGCTGGCGCAGGGCAGGGCGCGGGCGCAGGGCAGGGCGCTGGCGCAGGGCAGGGCGCCAGCGCGCGCAGGGCAGGGCGCTGGCGCAGGCTGCAGCGGCAGGACGCGCGGGCTGCAGGGGCGCCGCGCTGGCTGCAAGGGCAGCTCGTACGGGCTGCAGGGGCGGCGCGGACGGGCTGCAGAGGCGGCGCGCGGGCTCCAGGGGCGACGCGCGGGCTGCAGGGTCCGCGAGGACGGGCTGCAGAGGCGGCGCGCGGGCTCCAGGGGCGACGCGCGGGCTGCAGGGTCCGCGAGGACGGGCTGCAGAGGCGGCGCGCGGGCTCCAGGGGCGACGCGCGGGCTGCAGGGTCCGCGAGGACGGGCTGCAGAGGCGGCGCGCGGGCTCCAGGGGCGACGCGCGGGCTGCGGGGTCCGCGAGGACGGGCTGTAGAGGCAACGTGAATGGGCTGCAGGGGCAGCATGGACGGGCTGCAGGGGCAACGTGAACGGGCTGCAGGGGCAGCGTGAACGGGCAGGGGCAGCGTGAACGAGCTGCAGGGGCAGCGTACGGGCTGCAGGAGCAGCGTGCGGGCCACAGAGGCAGGCGCGGCTGCAGGGGCAGCACGGTAGCAGGGGCGAGCACGGCTGCAGGGGCAGCACGGTCGTAGGGGCGAGCACAGCTGCAGGGGCAGCGCGGTCGCAGGGGTAGCGTATGGGCTGCAAGGGTCGCGCCAGTGAGAGCTAGGGGCGCCAGCGCGCTAGCTACTATGTAGGGCGTGGCGCTACCACTAGGCGGAACAGTGGGCCCATGTAGGAACGGTTCCTACTCTGATAACATATCAAGAATAGAACTAGGAATGATGATTGAAGTATGCAAGAGGTGAGTACAAGTAGGGGAAACCTAACCCTAAAGTGTTGTACTCACTAAGGAGTGACCATACTGTAGCCTAGAGATACAATTGTAATCTGACATGCAGCAGGCCATTTTTCACATTGTACAGTTTTATAACCAGGATTGCAGAGAAAAAAACCGGGGATGTCTAGTATTTTTAGGGTGGGGATTTCGTGTAGCTGAATTACTCACCGTATGTTCCATTTTTCCCTTGTCTACAATTACTGCATATCTATGCACTATGGAATAATGTATAGTCGGGTTCAAGCATCCCCCTCTCTCAAGCGAATATCGTGTCGTCAGCGACTGAAACGTTGCTTTGACGTGGCACTCATCCACTTGTGTCAGTCCGCTTTTTGGGCAGTCCCACACTTGGCAACTCTGAGACCACCAGTGAGCCTCGATCCCGCGTGCGCGGTCAGAAATGTACGGTGTACATGGCCTTTTTCCCCAGCATATGCGCTTTCCTGACATCGAAATGCTTTCTTGTCTGTGCCCCACGTTTCGCGTCCGTCACACAACCTCTTAGTTAGGATGGCGTTCGATGACGCGTTGCAAGTGAAACGTTTCAGCTTTCATGTCATCCTGCTGTAACCAGCATCTCAAGCTGTTTTCGCGAAACTCGTTATGGAGTAATCTGGGTACAAGGTGTTGTCTCACAAGACTCAAACGAATATCTGCGAGAGACTGAAGTTCTTCAGAGGGAGAAGTTGAATCGTTTGAAGCAATTCTGGAGCTTTCTTTCTGAGATTCGGAGGTCACTAGATCTACTTCGGAACACAACCGTGGAGGCTTCCGTGAAGCAAGGTTCTTGTCGTGGATGACGGATTTTGCTTTGCTCAATCATTCTTAGTAGCATCTGTCGTCATTCTTCACTCGTTTCCTGACTGACTTATTTTATTCCGATACACCATCCTGCAGCGTTCGATTGTGCGACGTTTGTCGGTTGGGCCGTGTCGTGTGCTCGATACAAGATGGGTTCGACAGTATTCATAGGAAGCTCGTTATCCGCGCTCAGCAGCAGCCGCGTTGTCGGCAGTCTGCATCTCTCAGGAATCTCCGGCGTCGCATCCGACTTGGCGTTCGCGTGTGCATCGCGTTTACTCTCAGATCGTCACGCAACTGGCCGTCGGTTTTCCTTATCTGCACCCGACAGGCACGCGACACCGCTCTTACGTCAGCGACGAAAAAGCGTTCATCAAGCGACCAATCAGCTGCGAAGCGACGGACGCGTGGCGTCCAATGATAGGCCGTCGACAGATGGACAGAATGCCACCCTTACTAGGGTGGACGAGTCGCGACTTGACAGAGTTAGCAGCATTAACAGCCGGGACCGAATCGCGAATAACGGTTCGCTAGCTCACGACGTTTTTGTCGATAGCACTGCTGCAGTGACTTTCGTTGACTCGCCGACCGAGGCCGACACAGGTCGCGAGAAAGACGGAAAACGGATTACGGATGACGTGGTGCTGACGTGCACCACGTTCAACATGCTCGCGCCTATATTCAAGCGAATCAACAGAGAGGTACGGTGGGATATCATATGATGAACCCGTGAGAATCTGCAAATCTCGGCGTGAGTTAAGCCCCCCTAGGCAAAGATACTTTTAAACAAATCAATCCGCTAGAACGTGGAAAGAAAGCAAAACTAACACCTTTTCTTATTCCCGGTAATGCAAGGATTGGGGTGGAGGAGAGAGCAACTTTCGGAAGCTGTGGGTGCGTGGTGGCATGGCTGCCTCGTTCTCACCACGAAACGATGAACCCTCGTTTTTCCTTCTCCCGTTCCCCCGCTTCTGGATTCCCGCACGTAACGCAGGGCCAGAGAGAGAGCGAGTTTCGCGACCTGTGGCTTCCGCGAAGCGAGCGAATTCTGGATACCATAGTGGCGACGGGTTCGTCAATCGTGTGCTTGCAGGAGTGCTGGCTGTCGCATCCCGAGTGGGTTCGCCTGTTTGACTCCTCGCTGGGTGCTGCTGGTTACCGCACGCTCAAACTGCCCAGAACCAACAACCGGGGAGATGGTGAGTCAGAGGGAACTTCAACGAAACCTGGTAACCCTGATTTCGACGGGCTCGTCGATTGTGTGCCTGCAGGACTGCTGGCTGTCGTATCCCGAGCCGAGTGGGTTCACCCCCGCTCTGCGCCTACCAAACCCGTCTTCCCTTCCGCCCCTTTGTCTCCAGGTCTCATGATAGCCGTGAAGTGCGACCAGTGGCGCTTCGTGGACTACCAGTAGCTGCTGTTTGACTCACGCACGTTGACTAACGTTGATTCACGGTGACTCTCCTTCACCCCTCCAGGTCTCATGATAGCAAAAAGAGCGACCAGTGGCACGTGGTGGACTATCATCAGCTGCTGTTTCACGACTGTGGGCCTGGGGACCTGCACTGTCCTTGCTCTAGCCTTTGCCTCAGCCGAGCCCACTCCCCCTTCCCCTCTTTCCAGGTCTCATGATAGCAGTGAAGCAGGACCAGTGTCACGTGGTGGACTATCAGCAGCTGCTCTTCCACGACTGTGGGGACCGCGTTGCTCAGATCGTACGGCTGAGATCGAAAGGGCGCCTGGGGGGCAGGGCGGGGCGGGAAGGGAGTGAGGGAGCGGAGGGGGAGGAGGAGGATGTGTTGGTGGTGAACACGCATCTGCTGTTCCCGCATGACGCCAACTCCAACATCATCCGCCTCTGTCAGGTGGGTGTGTGCCACGTCTGCCAGGTGGGATTTGATCAGGTAGGCGTTCGTCAGGTGGGAGTGAGGGAGGGGTGCATGGACAGCAACAGCATGAGCACGAGCAGTAGAGGGAGGAGGATGTGTTGGTGGTGAACACGCATCTGCTGTTCCCGCATGACGCCAACTCCAACATCATCCGCCTCTGTCAGGTGGGTGTGTGCCACGTCTGCCAGGTGGGATTTGATCAGGTAGGCGTTCGTCAGGTGGGAGTGAGGGAGGGGTGCATGGACAGCAACAGCATGAGCACGAGCGGTAGAGGGAGGAGGATGTGTTGGTGGTGAACACGCATCTGCTGTTCCCGCATGACGCCAACTCCAACATCATCCGCCTCTGCCAGGTGGGTCTCTGCTGCCAGGTTAGCCATTGCCAGGTCAGCAGCTGCCAGGCGGGCGGCTGCTGCCCCACTCTGTCGCATTTATAGTGTATGGGGTAAAGGAGGGAGAGAATGAGGCCTCTGCAAGGTGGTCCTCTGCCACGTGGTCCTCTGCCACGTGGTCCTCTGCCACGTGGTCCTCTGCCACGTGGCCCTCTGCCACGTGATCCCCTGCTCTCTCTCAAATGGTCCGTTGTATTAATTCAGCAGGGGTACAGACATGCAGTTCTATTCATGATAACCTCAATCCCATAAGCCCATCAACTCACCCCTCTTCTCCCCCTCCCCCCTCTGAGTGACCCTCTAGCCCTCCAGCGTGTGGAGGATGTCCCCCAGGTGCAGCGGCCAGGGGTCCGCTGCCATCTGGGGGTGTGCTGCCTCAATCCCAGCCCTGGCCTTGGTGTGCAGGGCGTTCGCCTGGGAGCGCTGGAGGGCCACTGACCAGCGCTGGCTGAAGTGGCATGCCATCTTCTTGGCGGATTTCGCCAAGGGGCTGGCCCTGAAGCGGTTCCTAGCTGCTGCTGTGGCCAGCAGCTTCAGGAACGCCGTCGTGGGGGGCGCGTTTGCCCCATAGGTCTCGACGGCCAGGGCGCAGAACACCACGTGTTCAGTGTGTCGGTAGTAGTCCCTCTCCTTCCGCTTCTGTGCCTCCCTTGCAGCCCAGCCTGGGGGTTTGCAGGCCGTGGGGTCTCGGTTCTGCAGCACAGGGTCAGTGACAGTGGTGTCTGTGATCCAGGTCTCTCCGCTGTCCGGGTCTTGTACAATCACATCTGCCTTCTTCGGGTCATCCGGTGGTGAGTACATCGCATTCTCCAGGTATGCCACCAGCTGCGCCTCCCTCGCCATTTTAGCCACGGCGAAGGCCAGCTGGTTGTATGTGCGCGTCCTGTCGGGGCCTGTGCTGCAGCGGAGTAAGTGGTTGGGTAGGCTGCAGTCGGCTACGAGTTCTCCACACTCGCACACGGTTGGTACATTCTGTCGGATGCCCATGCGGAAGGCCAGGGCCGCTCGGAACTGACCCGGTGAGCAGCAGAGGTCCGGGGTCAAGGGTAGTGCCTGCAGCCACGCTCCCGCTCCCTCTCCTCTCAGGCTGACTAGGCGGAGTGTGTGGCCCATCTCGGGGGCTGACTGTATTGTGCGTGACTCCTCTCTTAGGGCGTCGGCCTTTGCCGCATGCACCTCCAGAGACAGGGCACGTTGCAGCGGGTCTTGGGACGGGGTTTGCTGCTCCTCCCGTAAGATTTGTAGCGCCAGCGGTGGCAGGCGCCCCTCCATGTCCTGGATGGTTACCGAGTGCACGGCAGACGGTTGCAGAGTGTTGTTGTTGGCCCCCAGCGCCGCCGTTGCTGGTAGGTCAAGAGAGCGGAGTAACCGTAGCGCCTCTGTCATTGATGCCAGGTAGGCCGGCGCTGCTTCCGTTGTGAGGTCTGTAAGGCCCAGCCCGCCCAGGGCGACTGGTAGAGTTGCTTGTCGGAGGAGGAAGTTGAACTCGGCTTCTCGGCGTGGCGGTTGAATGCTGGCGGCGGTCAAGGCGGTCAAGGCGGTGTTCAGTAATTCGGCGCACCATGTGTGCCATTCCGAGAGCAGTAAGACGTCAGCTGGGGTAGTGCGCAGCAGGTAGTTGACTCTGCGGCTGATGCAACGAGACAGTAGCAGGAGGGCGTGTTGTGGGTGGATGGACGCCAGAGAGCCCAAGAGGGCTGCCGCGTCAGTCAGGGTACTGCGGACAAAATCAGAGCAGAAGCTTTGCGACCCCACCGGACTTCCCAACACCTGTACCCCCTCGTGGGTGAGGGGAAGGCCCTCGGGGAGTATGTCACCTCCTAGCAGCACGGAGGACCAGGCCGACGACTTCCTAAAGTTGCAGGTGAGACCGTCCCGTGCCAGCAGCGGCGTGAGCTCCCTGAGCGCTTCTAGCGTCGCCGCCGCGGGTCCAATCATGGTTATGTCGTCCGCGTACGCGAGGACCGTGACTTCCGGGTGCTCCGTTGCTACGTGCCTGAGGTGCTGCTGGATAGATGCTGCGAATAACAGGGGTCCGAGGGGATTCCCCTGTGTGACTCCCCTTCCGCTGGTGAGAGCTGTGGAATTGAGGCATGGGTCCAGCAGCAGCGGTGAAGATGCTGCGTAGAAAGAGCGTGTGAAGGGGATTAGGGGAGCTAGCGGGGAGCCGATGAGTGCGTTGAAGAACGCGCTCCTCTCTATTGAGTTGAACGCGTTCTCGATGTCAAGCTGGAGTACTAGGCTGGAGGGCTGCACCGTGGTGAGGTCTCGGACTGCATGGATGACAAGCTCTGCACCTCCAGGGACTGCCACGCCAAATTGCTGAGGTAGGAAAAAAATTCGCGTTTCTCCTTGCAGATCTGAGAGCGCCACCTTCGCCGCCAGCCTAAGCAATGACTCTCCAATCGCAATGGGACGTACCCCCCCCCCCTGGTTTGGCGAAGGCTATAAGGCGGGACGGGGCAAGTAGTGCTGCGACTTCAGTGGAAAGATTTGTCGAGAGAAGATGCGTAACGGCGGAGTGGAGGTGCCCTAGTACCTCGATGTTACTTAGCGCTGGATCGCGGTAGTGTTCGAAAGTTGACCCCGATGGGCCAGCCCCAATTCCCCTGGGGCATTCTCCAAGGACGTCGGAAAAGCGTTCCAGAGTGGTTGAAAATTGCGTGGGTGTGGTGTAGGAATGCACCCACTCGGGCAGGTCATTTTGGGGTTGGGGGTGTTTCGATTCCAGCTGCTGTAGTGTCGCAATTGTCGCAGGTGCTGAAGGCGAGGGTTGTAGGGCCGCTAACGCCTTTCACAGGTTACACCGTTTCACCAACCCCTCCGCACGTGAGCAGATTCCCAGTGGGTCACCCACTGGTGCTGAGGTGGTTCGGCCAGGAGCATTGACCCCACGTAGTCAGTGTACAGCTGGGTCCAGTGGCCACATCGAAATAGATGCATCTGTTCCCGCAGCAGTGCTCTCTCTCGAGCGGTCCTTGTATTGATTGATGGGTGATACATAGGAAGATGCAAACACAAGCATACACTAACATAACACACGGTTTTCCGAACTAAGCTCTCTCTCTCTCTCTCTCTCTCTCTCTCTCTCTCTCTCTCTCTCTCTCTCTCTCTCTCTCTCTCTCTGCTCTCTCTCTCTCTCTCTGCTCTATGTTTGCAGGTAGGGCGGGGGAGGAGGAGGAATGGGGTAAAGTAGAGTGAAGCAGCGTTGCCTGAAACCACTGCATGTAATTGCCTTGGTATAAGATTCGTTTCGTATGGATCCGGAGTGCTGCTCGACTGCACCTCACCAGGTGTAAGAGCTGTTGGAACGAGTGGAGTGGAGCAGTGTCGGTCAGAGCAGAGCAGTGTGATAGCATTCGGTGCCTTCATATTTGTGCGCGCGCGCGTGTGTGTGTCCGTTGCTCTGTGCTCTGTCATCGTCCCGGCAGGTGTACAAGCTGTTGGAACGAGTGGAGCAGTGTCGGTCAGAGCAGAGCAGTGTGACAGCATTCGGTTCCTTCATCTTTGTGCATGCATGCGTGTGTGTGTCCGTTGCTCTGTGCTCTGTCATCATCCCGCCAGGTGTACAAGCTCTTGGAGCGGGTGGAGCAGTGTCGGACAGAGCAGGCTGGCAGACCCGCCCCTGTCATCCTGTGCGGGTATGTTGGGCTCTCTTATGTTGGCCTCTCCGTGTCCTTCAATCTCGTCCGCTTGTGCCCCGCCCGTGCTCTTTGCCCCAAACCACCTGCTCCCCTTCTTCCACAGCTCCCATTCTCCGCACGTGCCCTTTGCCGTGCCCATGCTTGCCCTCTCACATGCTCTTGAATTCTTGAACGTGCTGCCCAATCCTGCCACGATAGAGTGTTTCTTCACCTCTAAAAATTCAGCCGCTTCTGGGACGTCTGAAGTGTTTCGATCTCACAACCCCGTTCCCACATCTTTCCCCTTCGTCCCTCCCAGCAACCTGAACGGCACCGCGGAGGGCAACGTGTACAAGTTGCTATGGTCAATGTGTGGCTCGCTTCACATGCCCATTGGTTCCTCTCTCTCTTGCTCTCCTTTCCCCATGTGCTCCCTCTCTTCCCTCATGTATTCTTCCCTCCCATCAGCGATCTCAATGGCACCAAGGAGGGCAACGTGTACAAGCTGCTGCGCTCACAGGGCTTTCTTTCCTCTTATGACACGGCGCATCACCTCAATGATGTGGACGAGACGGTAGGTGACGTGGATTACAAGGTAGCTGAGTCATGGCAGGCAGTGGGGCGACGTGTGCGGGGTGGACTATGTGTGCTGGTAGCTGCAACTGGTATTGCTGTCTCCTTATCCCCTCCCTGTCTCTTCTTTCTTCATTCTCCCTGCGCCGTTTCCCCTCCACTTGTGCCATTTCTCGCAGTGGTGAGTCATCGCAGTCACAGGGGGGACGTGTGTGGGGTGGACTATGTGTGGATGCTCTGTGCTGCTTGCATCGCAAGCTCTCCTTCTCTCCCTTCTCCCCCCCCCGCCCCCCATCTCTCTTTCCACAGTGGGTGAGACATCGCAGTCACAGGGGGGACGTGTGCGGGGTGGACTATGTGTGGATGCTGCTCAGAGCTGGTTGCACTTCCGTTGTCTTACTGCTGTGCCTCTTTCCTTATATACTCTGCCTTCTCCCCTTGCTTCCAGTGGGTGAGCCATCGCAGTCACAGGGGGGACGTGTGCGGAGTGGACTATGTGTGGATGCTCAGTGTTGATTGCATCGCATGCTCTCCTTCTCTCTCCTCTCCCCTACTCCCCGTCTCTCTTGTCTCAGTGGGTGAGCCATCGCAGCCACAGAGGGGACGTGTGCGGAGTGGACTATGTGTGGATGCTCAACGCCCGCACGCCCATGAGCAATCCCGTCTTGAACTGGCGCAAGGCCGTGTTCGGGCTGATCAAGGTGAGCTGGCATAGACCGTGAGGTATGGTACGGTATCAAGGTGCAGTCCCCTCTGCTGCTATGTGTGCATGCTCAACGCCACACACCCTCAGCAACCCCGCCTTGAACTGGCGCAAGGCCGTGTTTGCGCTTATCAAGGTGAGTGAGAAGCATCACAGCCAGTCAGATATACTCAGTTATTCGCATTTTAATTCTTTGATGCATTTAAGAGATGCATCTACACACCCACTGCGTTAATATTAGTATCCTTTCCTCCCCTTTCCACCCCCCTCTCCCCCATGCCCATCCCCCATCCCCTCTCCCGTCCCCCTCTCCCCCATTCCCCTCTCCTCCATCCCACCCTCTCCCCCGCCCTACTCTCCGTCCGTACCCCATCCCTCCCAGTCCAAGCTGCTAGCAGCAGGCATTACGGACGCACGTCACGCGTTCCAGTTCTTTGCGACAGCAGGTGACACGTCCCCGTTTGAACACACCGTGTGTTTCACCTCGGACCCGAACGCCACCGACGCTGCTGACGTCAGCATGGATTTCGGGCAACAGCAGAATGATGACCCAGCGACCGAGGAGGAGGAGGTGGTGGAGGAGGAGGAGGAGGAGGAGGAGGAGGAGGAGGAGGAGGAGGAGGAGGAGGAGGAGGAGGAGGAGGAGGAGGAGGAGGAGGAGGAGGAGGAGGAGGAGGAGGAGGAGGAGGAGGAGGAGGAGGAGGAGGAGGAGGAGGATGAGGAGGCGTGGAGGTATTACGACAGTGATGAGGAGGGGATGGAGAGGCAGGAGTGCTGCATCACTGCTTTCACCATTGAAGACTTTCAACTGGCCGTGGCTCAGGTGGGTGCGACTGGGGCAGATGCTACCTGGGAATGGAACCGGGCCTGGAGGCAGGGTTGAGCTGGGGCAGGTAGGACTATTCCGGCAGTGACAAGGAGGGGATGGAGAGGCAGGAGTGCTGCATCACTGCCTTGACCATCTAGGTGACACAGGTGGAGGTGGCAGAGTTAATGCAAGGGGCGGACATGGATGGGGACGGGTGGGTGGACTTCAACGAGCTTCACGACATGTTTCAAAGTGCTCCTTGGGACTAACATTCCCCTCTCTTCACCCATCCCTCCGCCTTCCCTTCTGCCCCTCTCTCTCCCATGCAGCTTGGTTTGACAGGAGACAATTCAATAGGGCTGACAGAGGTCGAAGTGGCAGAGCTGATGCAAGGGGCGGACACGGATGGCGATGGGTGGGTGGATTTCAACGAGTTCCAGGACATGTTCCAACAGCCCACGTGGGACTCGCGGGTTGATACCCTCAAACAATCCATGGCTGCTTCGCTTGCTGCCTCCCTCGCCACTGCCTCTGCTGCTGCTGCTGCTGCTGCTGCTGCTGCTGCTGCTGCTGCTGCTGCTGCTGCTGCTGCCCCTGGTTCCGCCGCCTCTCCTTCCGTCACTGCTGCTGCTGTTGGCACTGCTGCTGTCTCTGCCGGTGCTGCACCTTCGGCTGCTAGCCCGTCTGCTGCATCCTCACAAGAGCAGCAGAAGCAGCGGCGGTGGGAGGAGAAGGAGCAGGCGGTGTTGCAAGGGGAGCAGCCGTATTGGGAGAGCCGCAGAGGGCTCAATGTGGAGGGCGAGGCGGGCCAGGGGAAGAATCGCTGTAGAGATGGCAGCGGTGCTGCTGGTGCTGCTGATGCTGGTGGTGCTGCTGTTGGTGTTTCTGTTGATGCTGCCGGTGCAGATGCAGCTAAGGAAGTTACTGGTGGTGCAGCAAGTGTTCAGGCAGGAGACGAAGACGTGGAGGAGTGTGAAATAGACGTGAGCAATGGGGGGCTGAGTCTGGCCGTGGTGAAGGCATCGCTGTTCCCGCCTGAAATGGAGGAAGGGAAGTGGCCTGAGGATTATACGCTGTCAGATCATGCGGTGCTGACTGTGATGTTTGGGAGGGAGAGAGTAGATGAAGTGAGCAAGTGAGAAGGTGGAGGGAATGGCCCCTCATATGGACTAGCAGCAATTGTTTGGAACGCGGGGCATTATAATTCTATAAAATTCTGTTTCCTGTCAGGTATTTGCTGTATGCAAAGTAAAACGAATTGGGGAGTTATGCCAAAACATTCTTTTATGATTATCTTTATGTGTATTAATTCGAAGCTCAAAAAGTGTGCAATTATGTATTTTCCATTAGGTTGCGTGTTATTCAAGGCCGCTGGTGTCTTATATCGCATGCGGAGAGATCAAGGGTGCTCCTAAAGTTTCTTTCACGTTATCATGACGTCACTTGGTCGCGCTTCGCACTGTGCTTCTCTCCTTACCTCGACGAACACGCCTAGCGACACGTAGCACGCTCTTGCAGCAGCCATCAACCCAGATCAGACCCGCCGTAGTTACTGCAACGAAATCGATTCCTTTTGGAGCACTTACAGAGCACTTACAGAGCACTTACGGGAAACTTACGGAGCAGTTAACTAGTTAGGGGGACTGGTTCGTAATAACTAGTGGCTGGCTGTTCTGGCTTGCGATCGGAGTTAAAGTGAGGCGCTTCGGATTAGGTCTCAGATTTGGTGATAGGTTGCTTTGTCGTGTGCAGGATTATCTGCTGTCGTTGACGTATAATGGCTCGTTTCTGGCTCTCCGCGATGACATCGTAGCCATGTTACCTTCTTTCGCGAACAGACCCTCTCCGAAAGTTTTCGCGAGCCGACCAGTAACCTCTCGCTAGTTTCGTCGCACCCTGCCTCAGTCCAGCTTCCCAATTGCGGTCTCAGTTCAGCTGCTTCTTAGTCGAGGTTTTGAATCTTCACACCTGATTTGCCGCGTGAAGTTGTCGCGTGCTGAATCTTCGTCCAATGAGAGCTCATGCTCTTTGGCGGGAAAGAATTTCAGCTGCCCTGGAGCAGACATAGCCGCAACAGTGATAGCAGCAGCAGCGGGAGCAACAACAGCAACAGTAGCAGTGGCAGCACCATCAACAATAGAAACAGTAGCATCATCATCAGTAGCAACAGCAACAACAGCAGCGGCAGCAGCAGCAACAACATATTCAAGATCATCGGCGACAGTCTCCTTCCCAACAGACCCACACACACGAGCATGGCTGGCGCTGCTGGCGGCGGAGCGGGGGGGCGCGGAGGGTCCGCGCGCGGGGGGTCCGCGCTGGCGCAAGAGCTGCTGCTGTACGTGTGCAGCGCGGGGATCAGCGCGCTCGTGCTGCTCTTCACGTTCCGCCAGCTGGACCCCAACCGCGCGCAGGCTAAGCTCGCCAAGCAGCGGAAAAGGGAGATCGCCAAGCGACTGGGTCGGCCGTACATCGAAACCAACACGTATGAGGTGGGTGGGTGTGAAGTCACATGTCATGTCAGGATGACTTTTGAGTCGACGCGTAAGAACCCCTAATCACGCGCAGGCAGGCCAAGCTCGTCGCGCAGCGGAAAAAAGGAGATTGCAAAGAGATTGTGTTGGTCCTTACAGCCGGTACATCCAGACGAACACATACGAGGTGTGCCTGCGAGTTAGTCGATTTTCAATTCCGCTGGTATGAGTTGGTTGGTTATCCTCTTAGGTAAGTAATCTTTGACTCCATCTCTCTCCTCTCTCTATCCCCCGTTTATTCCTCTCCATCCCTCTCCTCGTCCCCATCAGGATGTGATAACAAATGACGTGATAAACCCACAGAACGTTGTCGAGCATGTCACTAATGACGGTTAGAGATATACTCAATAGAGCAATTACGCTGTTATGCAGTGGCAGTGTAGCAGCGGAGAGGATTGCAGCGGAGTAAGACCTACTATCTGTTCTGTGCTTGTTTGTTTGTTTGTTTCCTGCTTTAGTGGAGTTCGTGTCCGGGCTATCTTCCTAGCAGTACTGTCCCGATGCGGGAACCAGTCGGAGGATTAGAGGGTTTTTTTGAGAGGATAGGCCCACAACGTAACACGAGCTGACTTTTGAGTCGACTCAAAAGGATTAGAGTTTGTTTTGAGAGGATAGGCCCACAACGTAACACTCACACCTCAAGGCATTACTCAAAGAGGAAGAGAGAAGAGAAGAGTGCAGTGCAGCAAGGGGATAAAAGGGGCTGAGGTTGTAGGAACAAGGCAGGACATGAGGAGTAACAGAGTCTGACAGTGCAGGGGAGAGCAAAACGGGGAGGAAGCGGAGGAAACTTCGACAACATCCACGTCATGTTTAAATCCTCTCATCTCTTTATCTCCCTCTATCGTTCTCTATCCTTCTCCATCCCTCTTAACCCTTCCCATCAGGATTCGATAGCAATCGACAGGACATTCACGTCTCCCTCTGTCCCTCCCATTCCCTCTTTAGCCCTCTCTTTCCCTCTCTATCCCTCTCCACGCCTGTCCATCCCTCTGAACCGATCAGGGCTTAATCGCCAACGAACGATGTGATCAACCCACAGGACATCCACGTCACCTTTGTCTCTGTCCCCCCCTCTACCCCTCTCTATCTCTCTCTATTCCTCGAAACCCCTCCCCATCAGGACGTGATAGCAAACGATGTGATCAACCCACAGGACATCCACGTCACATTTGACTCAATAGGCGGCCTGCAGCACGTGAAGGCGTCTCTTCACGACCTTGTCATTTTGCCCCTGCAGCGACCCGAGCTCTTTGCACAGGGGCGCCTGTTGCGGTAGGTGGTCTGGGTGGGGAGGGGTGCTGTATCGTTCTTTGCAGCACGTCGCGTGAAGGAGTCATTGCACGACCTTGTCATTTTGCCCCTGCAGCGACCCGAGCTCTTTGCACAAGGCCGATTGCTGCGGTGAGCGTGGGTGGGGAGGGGTGCTGTAGCGTTCTTTGCAGCACGTGAAGGAGTCTCTTCACGACCTTGTCATTTTGCCCCTGCAGCGACCCGAGCTCTTTGCACAGGGGCGCCTGTTGCGGTAGGTGGTGTGGGTGGGTGGGGAGGGGTGCGGTAGTGTTCTTTGCAGCACACCAAGGAGTCTCTCCACGACCTCGTCTTACTACTGCCCTTCCAGTGATCGGAGCTTTTTGCTCAAGGCCGGCCGCCTGTTGCGGTGAGTGTTTGCGTGACTTTGAAGAAATGCGTTATAGGACAGGTGAGGGATAGGTGAGGGATAGGTGAGGGATAGGTGAGGGCTTGTACGTTTGGGACTCCATAGGCGGCCTGCACCACATCACGTCACTTACTCCCTTCACGATCTCGTTCTTCTGCCTCTCCAGCGCCCAGAGATTTTTGCCCAAGGGCGGCTGCTGCGGTGAGTGTGGGTTCAGAGTGGTGCTAATAGAAAAGGCGAGACATTCAGATGAGGTCCATTGGCAGCCTGCAGCACGTCAAGGAGTCTCCGCACGACAAACAGCCCACTTGGTCTCTTCATTTTTTTCTTCAATGACTGGCGCTCTTTGCTCAAACCCCGCATGCTGCGGTGCAGTGCACTGTGTAGAGAGTCCCCTGTTCGGTACAGGATGCGTTATGTGAGGTGAGATTTACAGGTGGCCTGCAGTGCAGCATGTCAAGGAGTTTCCCCCTGTTTGGTACAACGAGTCCCTGCATGACCTTGTCTGATGAAATCCTTGACTTCCTTTTCCAACCCAGGGATGTCTGTTCTGTTTTGCACCCCCTCCCTCCCTCCCTTCTCTGCCCATGCATGCATGCAGACCACAGAAGGGTGTGCTGCTCTTTGGCCCGCCAGGCACCAGCAAGACGCTCTTGGTGAAGGCGATTGCCAAGGAGTGCAGAGCGGTTTTCATCAACGTCAGAGTTTTCTCGCCATTCTTTCTCTGTGTCCGCATGTGCATGCATGCATGCAGACCACAGAAGGGTGTGCTGCTCTTCGGCCCGCCAGGCACTGGTAAGACGCTGCTGGCGAAGGCGATTGCCAAGGAGTGCAGAGCGGTGTTCATCAACGTGCGGATCGCCAACCTCATGAGCAAATGGTTTGGGGATGCTCAGAAGCTAGGTGCGTTGGGGGTGGGTTGTGAGGAAGAAGAGTGTGTGTGCAAGAAGGGGCGATTGCCAAGGAGTGCAGAGCGGTGTTCATCAACGTCGGAATCGCCAACCTCATGAGCGAGTGGTTCGGGGACACTCAGAAGCTAGGTGCGTTGCTCACAGGGTGTTGGGAGGGAACAAGGGTGTGCGTTCCGCCTCTCCGTGTGTTCACGTTGTTAGTCTCAGTTCGTCCCAACCTCATGAAGTGGTTTGGGGACGCGCAGAAGCTAGGAGCGTTTGGGGTGGTGGGGAGGGGAGCGAGGCACTCTCTTCTCTTCGCTGCGTCCCTCGTTAGAGTCACAGCGGTGTTTACAATAGCCCGCGACCTGCAGCCAGCCATCATCTTCATTGACGAGGTGGAGTCCTTCCTGGGACAGAGGCGGAACACGGAGCACCTTATTCCCTCCCTTCCCTTCCCTCCTCCTACATTCTCTTTTCCTTTGCCTCGTTACAGTCACAGCGGTGTTTACGCTAGCCCACAAGCTGCAGCCAGCCATTATTTTCATCGACGAGGTGGAGTCCTTCCTGGGGCAGCGGCGGAACACGGAGCACGAGGCGGTTACCAGCATGAAGACGGAGTTCATGTCGCTGTGGGACGGCTTCAGCACTGACGGTAAGCAAGAGTGTTGTCAGTATTGGCTTCAGTGCATGCAGTGGTGGGTGAGAGAGTGACACGAGGCAAGAGGGCATACAGAGCACGAGGCAGTGACGAGCATGAAGACGGAGTTTATGTCCATGTGGGATGGCCTCAGCACCGATGGTGGGTGGGTGGGTGGGTGGTTGGGTGGGTGGTTGGGTGGGTGGGTATGTGAGTGACACGGGGCAGCGGAGGAACGCGGAGCACGAGGCAGTGACGAGCATGAAGACCGAATTCATGCCTCTGTGGGACGGCTTCAGCACGGATGGTGAGTTAGGAGGGTGTGGGTGCACGTAGTATGAGTGAGTGACATGAGGCCGAGGAGCCAGGCGGAGCACGAAGCAGTTACCAGCATGAAGACGGAGTTTATATCGCTGTGGGACGGATTCATCACTGATGGTGGGTGAGAGGGTGGGTGGGTATTGACAAGGCATTTTGTGCAAGGAGCAGTGAGTGAGTGATGACACAAGGCGGTGACCAGCATGAAGACCGAGTTCATGTCCCTGTGGGACAGCTTCAGCACTGACGATGAGTGGGTGGCTGGGCTGGTGAATGGCTGGGTGAGTGGTGACTTTTGAGTCGACTCAAAAGTCAGCTGGTCTGGTGAATGGCTGGGTGAGTGGTGTGTGCTTTATTCATTCTCAGGCGCCTTCCCTCACTGCACTCCCCTGCACCCCACCATTGAACCCCCCTGCCTGCATTGCACCCCCCTTCTTGCAGACACGGCGCGGGTGACGGTATTAGCAGCCACCAACCGCCCCTGGGAGCGGGACGATGCCATTCTCAGGCGCCTGCCATCACAACCCGCTTCATTGCCCTCCTGCACCCTCCTGCCCGGCCTGCACCCCCCTGCACCCCCCTGCCACCCCCTGTCTTCCCCCCCAATCAGACACGGCACGGGTGATGGTACTAGCAGCCACCAACCGCCCCTGGGAGCTGGACGAGGCCATTCTCAGGCGCCTGCCCCGCCACTTTGAGATTCCCCTGCCGGATTTAGCCGGCCGCACCAGCATCCTGGAAGTGATCCTGCGGGTATGTGTGGTGTGAGGGTAAGCATTGTGATGAATGTGAGTTGTGAGGCTGGGTGCGGCAGATGGGTTCTCAGGCACCTGCCTCGCCTCTTTGAGATTTCCCTGCCGGATGTAGCCAGTCGCACCAGTATCCTGCAAGTGGGTCTTCGGGCATGTGATGTGTGAGGTCAGGTATAGTGGCGATTGTCGGCTGTGAGGCTGGTACAACACGAGGCTATTCTCAGCCGCTCAGGCACTTTGAGATCCCCCCGCGTAAACTGGCTGGCCAGACCAGCATTCTTGAAGTGATTCCTCGGGTATGTGAGAGCTGCCTGGGGTTATTCTGGGCTCCGGTGGGGATCAATTCGTTTCCCTGTGTGTCCCATCCCTGGGCTTTCCTAGGCTTCCTGAGCTTACCTGGGCTTTCCTGCCCCGTTTTTCCCTAGACTACACCATTCTTCTCTAGACTACCCTGTTCTTCCCTAGACCACCCCGTTCTTCCTTGACCACCCCGTTCTTCCCTTGACCACCCCGTTCTTCCCTTGACCACCCCGTTCTTCCCTTGACCACCCCTTTCTTCCCTTGACCACCCCGTTCGTCCCTTGACCACCCCGTTCTTCCCTTGACCACCCCGTTCTTCCCTTGACCACCCCGTTCTTCCCTTGACCACCCCGTTCTTCCCTTGACCACCCCGTTCTTCCCTTGACCACCCCGTTCTTCCCTTGACCACCCCGTCCTTCCCTTGACCACCCCGTCCTTCCCTTGACCACCCCGTTCTTCCCTTGACCACCCCGTTCTTCCCTTGACCACCCCGTTCTTCCCTTGACCACCCCGTTCTTCCCTTGACCACCCCGTTCTTCCCTTGACCACCCCGTCCTTCCCTTGACCACCCCGTTCTTCCCTTGACCACCCTGTTCCTCCCTTGACCACCCCGTTCTTCCCTTAACCACCCCGTTCTTCCCTATACTACCCTGTTCTTCTCTAGACCACCCCGTTATTCCGTAGACCACCCTGTTCTTCCTTAGACCACCCCGTTCTTCCCTAGACTACCCCGTTCTTTTCTAGACTACCCCGTTCTTCCCCAGATTACCCTGTTCTACTCTGTTTTACCATGATCTACACTATCTAGGGAAGAACAGGGTAGTCTAGGGAAGAACAGGGTAGTCTGGGGAAGAAGAGGGCAGGAAAGCCCAGGTAAGCTCAGGGAAGCTTAGGGAAGCCCAGGGATGGAAAGCATAGGGAAGCGTATTGATCCCCACGGTAGCCGTTGTGTTCTCATCTCATGTTTTCTCTGCGTTGTTTTCCTTTGTCTTATACTGCCAGGACATGGACGTGGATGATGATCTGAATCTGTCAAAAGTTGCTTCCTGCGTTTGATTTGGGAATGTACGAACCTATGTATTGCATTTATTCTTGCACGCTTACCTGCCTGGCCTACCAGAAGCACCCCTGGCTTATATGGCGCTGCTGCTGCTGCTGCTTGTGATCTTGTCATCTCGCCCCTTCTCTCCGATCACAAGCAGCAGCAGTGCCATATAAGCCAGGGGGTGCTTCTGGTAGGCCAGGCAGGTAAGCGTGCAAGAATACATGTAATATATAGGTACGTACATTCCCAAATCTAGTTGCTCCTCCTTCCCCTGTGTCGCCCTACAGGACGAGGACGTGGATGAGGACTTGGACTTGCAAGGGATTGCCTCCTGTGCTGAGTACAGTGGGTCAGACCTCACAGAGCTTTCCTGTTTTTAACCCTGATTCCTCTCTGCCCCTTCTCTCCTTAGGACGAGGACGTGGATGAGGACTTGGACTTGCAGGAGATCGCCTCTCTATGCGCGGGCTACAGCGGGTCTGATCTCACAGAGCTGTGCAAGCAGGCGGCGTACCTGCCTCTTCATGACTTTCTGGAGGAGGAGCGGAGAGCGCTGCAGGGGAAGGGGAAGGTGAGACGAGGGGGGATGAGGGGTTAGGAAAGGGGTGAGGGTAGAATATAAGATCTCGGAGCCACTGGGGTTGTGGAAGAGTGAACTGTTTTTCACAGAGCTGTGCAAGCAGGCGGTGTACCTGCCTCTTCATGACTTTCTGGAGGAGGAGCGGAGAGCGCTGCAGGGGAAGGGGAAGGTGAGCGATGCGGGAGAGGGTGAGGGAGTGGGGGGAAGATCTGGGAGACACTGGCGGAAGATCCGTGCGAGAGTGGAATGCTGTTGACAGACAGAGGTGTGCAAGCAGGCGGCCTTGCTGCCTCTGCAGGGGAAGGGGAAGGTGAGCGATGCGGGAGAGGGTGAGGGAGTGGGTGGAAGATCTGTGCGAGAGTGAAATGCTGCTGACAGACAGAGGTGTGCAAGCAGGCAGCCTTCCTGCCTCTGCATGATTTTCCGTAGGATGAAAAGAGAGGAGATAATTGGGAGATGCGTTTGTTCCATTCGCTACACTTACAAGCATTGGCTCTGAATTCACTCCCCTCAGCAGTCCCTGTTAACATTCTTTTCGGCGCCTCAAAACTCGTCTCACTGATTTCACACTCCTGAGCAGTCCCTGTTAATATGCTCTCTCGATGTCCTCATTGGTCTTTACACCCCCCCCCGTTTCTCCCCTCCCCCCCGTTTCTAACCTTCCCCCCGTTTCTAACCTTCCCCCCGTTCTCTTTCTCCCTCTCCCCGTACTCAGCGAGCCTCGGCAATAGGCCGCTTGGGATTTTTTTACTATGCATCTGCCCTCGTCCCGTTCTCTCCTCCCCTCCCTCCCACAGCGCCCCCTCGCCCGGGCGAAGTTCCCCCGTTTGCTCAACGAGTCCTTGAACAGGCCTCTTGTGAATCCTCAAGTACGCATCGCCCTCGTCATGTACTCTCCTCCCCTCCCCCTAACAGGACCCCACCTCCCAGCGCCCCCTCGCCCGGGCGGACTTCCTGCGAGTGCTTAGCGAGTCCCGCCCGTCCCGAGACGCCGCCTTTGACTATCTGCGCAAGCGCAGCAGCAGCAGCGCCAGCCTGCCGCACCTGGGAGAGGACCTTATCCCCACTGCTGCCACCACCAATGGCACCGCCTTTCCCTCGTACCCTTATGCGAATGGAGGGGCGCTCACGCCGCCCATGGCTGCTGGTGGTGCTTCGCAAGCAGCACAGCAGGCGGATTTGATGCGGCTGCTGTTTCAGGCGGCAATGGCCTCGGCTTTGCAACCGCAAGCGATGCAACCGCAAGCGTCACAGCCACAGTCCATGCAAGCACAGGGAGGGGAGCAGCAGAGCGTGCAACAGCAAGGGGTGTCCCAGCAGGCCTTGCAATCAAGTGAAGGGGAGATGGGCTTCGGAAACAGTGCTCCTGCCGGTGCTGGTTCCGCTGATGCTGCTGGTGCTGCTGTAGGTAGTGGTGGTGGCGACGCGGACGGCAGTGATGTTTCTGGTGATGATTGTGGAAGGTAACAGTATGATGAGGTGCAGGGAGGAGAAATTGGTGCTGGCAGCTGGTTTTGACTATGGGATGAGAAACTTGTGTGGTGAAATTTTTTATAATGGGAGTTTGCAGTAGTGATTCTGTGAATATGTGTTGCGCAATGATTGTACCGTATTGACGAGTAATGCTGGTGTGTTCCATAGACATTGTGATACCTCCTGATTTTGAGTTTGATTTTGCTTTTGTGCATGCTTGGTTCGTTGGTGTAAATCACTCCCACATGGGGTGATACAAGGTCTGTATTGCATCCACTATATCGAGTTAACGTACTCGCTATTGGATATTGGATTCCTTCGTCAACCTGTTGCAATCGCAATTGCGCATCTTTGTTGCAGACAATATCTTGTGATATTTCCTGGACCATGATGTGCTGGACGATAAAGCAATATCACCCTCGCTCTTTAGTGGAAACTGGGTCAACTTGCAGCCTTGTTGTCCAATAGTTATCGCTTTTGGAAACGCGCTGTCGGATTTCCCGCAACGGAACTCGCCGCAAATCCCAAGGACAGCCATCCTCACAAGAAAGCTGTTGGCAAGCGAACATGGAATAAAGCAGGAATCTTTGCCATGCCCAAACCCTCTTTTCTCCTTCTGGTAGAACAGCTCACAGGATAACTTCTTCTGTTCCCCATTGACCATCCATGGCGTGCCTTAGCTTCTCCTTCCGTTCCGTGACCGTCATTCGCGCTCCCAGCTCCTCCTCCTCCCAGCTCTACCGATTTCAGGCTCCTCCTGATCACGGCGGTAGCGGGTCTAGTTTCTAAAAGCCTCCGAATTGAGCATATTGAATCCGTCTTGGATCTTAGAATTATTCCTAAGATCCCAGGAGGACGGAACAGGGGGAAACGGAGAACCAGGAGCCCGCTAGGTCGATGGTAGCGGGCTGAGAGACCAGCATTGCCGTTCTACGCTCGTCTAAACATGGCGGGGTGAAGAGTCTTCGTACTTCCTCGTAGCATACTGAAGTTTCTGATGGCCTTATATAAGACGACATAGATACGTTGTTTTCCTTCGCTCTCTCGTACTCTCGGCTTTCAAGGCTTACGCGCTCAGGAACCTTAGGACTCGCGCACCTTTTTCGCATTCGCACATTGCTTCCTTACTCGTTGTTCCGCATTTATTGCACCAGACGGCCGCATTGGTAAAATAATAAAATAAGTGTTACCGGGATAGCACCTACTGCTGCAGATTCGGTTGGGCCACCTGCCTACCAGAATAGCTTTGCTCCTCAGGCGCCTCCTCAGCCGTCCCTTCAGGCGTTTTCTCTGGAGATATTGCAACAGAGACTCTCCATTTGAATCCTCGGGCCTAGTGCTTCCGTTAGCCTCGTCTAAAGCGTATCGCCGACCAGATTTAGCGACAAATGGGAAAGAGTAAGTCTACCGTTATACCCTGCTCTTACGCTTTTGTTCTTGCTTTTGTTCTTTCTCTTACAAAGGAATTTTCACGCGTCTCCTGCAAGATCTTGATCTCCCCAATTGCATCTCGCTCGTGTAAGGGAAGCTAGAAACGTTGTGGTCGAGGATATCGCATCCGTCTTTTCCCTCGCAGTCACTCTCGCACAACGTCTGTGTGCTCGCTTGCCGTGTGATCTCACCCGGTTAATGGGCCAGGAAGCAAGGCAACATGCACACGGATCTCTTAACTTCCATTGTGCACTGCTGTTCTTCTCCTCGGATTTCGTCCATCAACTTCGCTTCCCGCGTTTTAGTCCCTGTTCCTTCGTTATATGTTTCTTGCGGGATCTGAGCGCGGACGGCACGGCGAGCAACCGCGACTTTTCGAACCGACTGCCTGCTCTGCTGCCACGCCGTCTCCTCTCTCCGTGTGCTGCCTGCTCTGCCTGCTAGGCTCTCGAGATAACAGTTCCCGCGAGGCGTCATTTTTGGCGCCTCAAAAGTTGTTCCCTGTGCTGCCTGCTCTGCCTGTACAGTGGCCGAAGATCCTGCTTCCGCTCTTGCAGATTAAAGTTCCTGCGAATTTGGTCGCAGCGACCACGCGGACGACGCGGCAAATGCGGACGACGCGGACGACGCGGACGACGCAGACGATGCGAACCACGCCTACGACGCGGACGGCGACGATACGGCGAGGAACGGCGCCCGAATGACTGGAACGGGGTTCCTTCCTCTGCTAATGCGTCTCCCTCCTCTCCTCTCTTCTCTCTTTCCGCTCCTTCCTTCCCGACACCATCCTCTCCCCCATTTCTTCCCCAATGCCACCCCTGGGTCTTTCCGCTCTTGATTTCCGCAGAAAAGAGTTCTCGCGGGTCGTCGCGCAACGGCGGCGACGCGGACGACGACGACACGGCGAGCACCGCGTCGTCGTCGAGCGACCTTCCCGCCGTGTACTCCGGCGCGCGCGACGACGTCTACTGCGCGGCGACGGCCACGGAAGCGCTTCTAGACGCGCTGCAGGAGAAGCGGTGAGTGGGTACGGCGACCTGTGGTGAGGATGTTATGTTGTTGACGTTCTTCCTGCGAATCCTTACGTTGCCCTTCCCCCTCCGCTCCCCTCCCGTTCCCCCCATCCCCCCCCCCCCCCGCCTCCCCCCCCCCTTCCCCCCTCTCCCCCCCTTCCTCTCCCTTCCCTTCACTTTCTCTTCCCTCCGCGTGTGTGCGCCCCTGCCAAGTTGCTGGCGATCATTCTGGCGTCCCAATCCATCCAATCCACCCTTCCTCCCCTCCTTCCTCCTCCGCGTGTGCGCCCCTGACAGGTCGACAACTCGCGAGGCGGCGCTCAAAGGGCTGGCGACGACTCTGGCGTCGCAAGTGCACGGGGAGCTGGTGCAGGACAAGTAAGGCTTTTAAAAGGGGGCCGTAGGCTGTGTGTTTGAAAGGCTGTCCTGTGCGGGGGTGCTCAAGGGCCTGGTGACGACTCTGGCGTCGCAAGTGCACGAGGAGCTGGTGCAGGACAAGTAAGGCTTCTGAAGCGGGTGTTTGCATGGGGAAAAAAAGGGGAGGTGGTTTGTGTGTGTGCATGTGCATGGGCGAGTGTGGGTGTGTGTGTGCGCGCTTGTGGTGTGGGCAGGTGAGTGTGCGTGTGCGTGCGCGTGTGTGCGCGTGTGTGTGCGCGTTTGTCACCCTCTCCCAGGCTGTACTCGCCTGTCGCTGACTCGTACCTCACCAGCTTAGCACACTCTTCCCTCCCTCTCTCCCGTTCAATGCCCGCAGGTTCGACACTCTCACGCAGGGTTTTCTCTCGTGCCTTAGAAAGGGCAAGGCGCCCGAGCAAGTTCTCGCTGCCCGATGCCTTGGTGAGAGCCCCCTGCTCTTGTACTACGTACTACGTACTACCAATACCCTCTGCGCTAGCTCCTCTCCTCGCCCCTGCCTCGTCTATTCACCCTCCCCTTCTCCCTCTTCCTTCCGAAGATGGTTCTCCTTTCTCTGTCTCCCGTTCCAACCACACGTCGGCTGGCGCTTATCTTTGGTGCTTCTGACTCATGCAAAGAGCTGCTCTCCTCGTCCCTGCCTTGTCTGTTCCTCCCTTCCCTCTCCTCTCCTCACCACCCTCCTTCTCTCCCCCCCCTCCCCTTCCACCGAACCTCCCCCGCCCTCCCCCCTCCTCCCCCCCTCCTTTCCCTCTCTTTCCCCTTACCTCGCCACCCCGCTCGCCTCTCGATTCCCAACCCATCTGTTCTCCTCAAATGGCTCTTCTTTCTCTTTTCCCTTCTTATCCACCCCCACCCTTCTTCTCCCCCTCCCCCACCCGCCCCCCCCCACCCTCCAGGTCTGCTGGCGCTCACCCTAGGGGCGTCTGACTCGTGCGAGGAGCTGCTCTCCTCGTCGCTGCCGCATCTGAGCAAGCTGGCTCGCGCTGCTGGCTGTGCCGCCACCCGCGTTGCTGTGAGTGGGATGTCCAAAAGAAGGGGACCGAGAGGGAGGTAAGGGGGGAAAACGAGGGGAGGAGAGAGGGAGGGAAGGAGGGAGAGAGGGGGGGAGGGAGTGGGGGGAAGGAGGGAGGGAGGGAGGGAGGGGGGATGGAGTGGGGGGAGGGAGGGAGGGAGGGGGGGATGGAGTGGGGGGAGGGAGGGAAGGCTGCACATGTTACAGAAGAAGGATTCGTTCTGATGCACCTCACGCCCCTTCCCATCCTCTCCCTTCCGTTGCCGGCATCCCCCTCCCTCCCCCCCCTCCTCCCCTATCTCTTATCACCTTCTCTTCTCTAGTACCTAGACGCGCGCCGTTGCCATCATCACACTCTGGTGCACCTCATAGTGTCCCCTCCCCTCTTCTCCATCGCCTTGTTTCCTCACCTCTGCCCCGTCCCCTCCTCCTCTCCCCCTCCTGCAGTGTCTAGACGCCATGGCCATCATCACGTTCGTGGGGGCCATGAACCAGAAAGAATGCCACCGAGGAGAGGGGATATCGTGAGAGAATGTATTCTTTCTGGTTCATCTCACGATATCCCCTCTCCCTCCTCCCTCTGTTTCCCACCGCCCTGATCACCTTCCCCCATCCAGTGTCTAGACGCTATGGCCATCATCACGTTCGTGGGGGCCATGGATGCCCATGCCACAGAGGAGAGAACGGACTCATTGATGCACGGCCCCTTTCCCTCCCGTCCCTTGCCTTGTCACCTCCCCTCCTCTCATCACCCCCCACCACCCCGCAGTGTCTAGACGCCATGGCCATCATCACGTTCGTGGGGGCCATGGACGCACACGCCACAGAGGAAAGCATGAGCCTTCTGTGGCTCGTTGCGAACCCTCAGGTGAGGTTTAGGTTTCAGAGCTCAAGGTTCTGGGTACGAGAGCCAGGGGCTTGCTAGCATTTGCACATGTCACGGGGGAGAGCATGAGCCTGCTGTGGTGTGGCTCCTCGCCAACCCCCAGGTGAGGGGTTTGGGGTCTGAAGTCTGGCGTTTACTAGCTCGCGCATGCTGCAGGGGAGAGCATGAACCTGCCATGGCTCGTCGCCAACCCCCAAATGAGGTTCAGTCAGGGTTTGATTTCAGCGTGAGGTTTTAGGGTTCAATAGCTATCGCGCATGCTGCAGGGGAGAGCATGAGCTTGCTGTATAGCTCGTGGTTAACCACCAGGGGAGGCGACTGATTTGGCTAGTCGTGTTATTTGGGGACGAGGTGACTTTGTTGGACCGGTGTTGTTTGGGAATGAAGGAACGACCATGCCTCAAAGGAGAGCATGGGCCTACCTTGGCTGGGGAAGAGATCTGTTGTCATTCACCCATTGGATAAGTGAGCCCTTCTTTCCAACCCAAGGCACCCAACACCCCCATTCCCCACCCCGTTCTTGCTTTCCGTCCTCAGGGCAACAGCAAGGCAGTAGTGCTGCCGGCAGCACTGAAGGGTTCAGCCATCAGACTTTTGAGACGTCTCAAAACTCAGGGCAACAGCAAGGCAGTAGTGCTGCCGGCAGCAGTGAAGGGACCATCAGCATTTGGTCCCTGCTCGCTTCCATCTTACCCAACACAACCAACTCACTCGCAACTCCCCCTGCCCACTCTTCTCGTGCCTTTCCTCAGGGCGCCAGCAAGGCGGTGGTGCCAGCAGCAGTGAGGGGATCAGCCATCAGCAACTGAACCCTGCTGCTCTCTGTCTTACTCAACACACTCAACCCACTCTCAACACCCCACACACACCCCCCAAACCCCTGGGTGCTTTCTGTTCTCAGGGCGCCAGCAAGGCGGTGGTACCAGCAACAGTGAGGGGATCAGCCATCAGCAACTGGACCCTGCTGCTCTCCACACTGCCCTTCTCGCAGCTCTCGCAGTTCCACACTCGCAGGTGCGTCAACTCTGCGACCATAGATTCGTCAGCTCCTTGGCCTGGTGTGCTACTAGACTGTGCCTCTGGCCCTTATCGTATCTCCTGGCTCAGCTCTTGCCAACTGCACCCCCCACACAGAGTGTACCGGAGGTTCTACCCCACTTCCTTCAAGACGCGGACCTGGGTGTCACAGCCCTTGTGCTCGCTCCCTCCCTCCCTCCCTCCCTCCCTCCCTCCCTCCCTCCCTCCCCCGCTCACTATCCCCTACTCGTCTCGCTCCCCTCCCTTCCTCCCTCACACCCCCCCAACCAGTGAGCTGGAAGTTCTATCCCGCTGTCTGCAAGACGCGGACTTGAGCGTGAGGGGGGCGGCAGGCGAGGCCATAGCCCTCGTGCACGAGCACTGCCCTGCAGACGCTATAGAGGAGAGCGGTGCAGGCTCGGGAGGAGGTTCGGCGAATGGCTTGGCAAACGGTGGTGTGGAGAGCAGTGACTCGGATGACTCTATCGTGGATGGGGTGGTGCTGCCTGATAAACCCGTGGGCGGTGAGTAGACCCAGGCCGCCTGATGTAGCGGTGCTGTGCTGTGCTGTGCTGTGCGGTACTGTGCGGTGCAGTGGAGAGCAGTGACTCGGATGACTCTATCGTGGATGGGGTGGTGCTGCCTGATAAGCCCGTGGGAGGTGAATCGGTCCTGCCCCTGGCAAATGTAATCTGTATAATGCATGTTGGCAGTGGCACATGGCGCAGTGCTTTGCTGTGTGGTGCTGTGTGGTACAGTCTGGTGCAGTGGAGAGCAGCGATGTGGATGACTCTATCGTGGATGGGGTCGTGCGGCCTGATAAACCCGTGGGAGGAGGTAGCAGTTACCCGAGGGTGGGTGGTGCTTGCAGGTATTGGCAGTGGTGCATGGTGCAGTGCTGTGTTGTGCTGTGCGGTGCGGTGTGGTGCCGTCCTGTGCACGGCGGTGATGTGCTGTAAAGTGGTGCAAAGAGCGGTGGAGCAGATGCATCAGCTGACGACGGCCAGCATCAAGCAGATGGGGTGACTTCCGATTTAATTCGCATCCCGCTGCCCTATGGCCTATGCCCCATGCCCGGTGCTTCGTACAACAGGTGGGCGTCAGGGCAGTGCGACGGTACAGAGGGCGGTGGAGCAGATGCAGCAGCTGACGGTGGGCAGCAGCAAGCAGATGGGGTGACTTCCAATTTGATTCGCATCCTGCTCCCCTATGCCCCATGCGCCTTGCCCCGTGCCTTGTAAAACAGGTGGGCGTCAGGGCAGTGCGACGGTGCAGAGGGCGGTGGAGCAGATGCAGCAGCTGACGGTGGGCAGCAGCAAGCAGATGGGGTGACTGTTGATGCAATTCACAATTCATACCCGGTACCCCATGTTTCTTGTGCTCTTCTGTCCTTCACAGGTGGGCGTCAGGGCAGTGCGACGGTACAGAGGGCGGTGGAGCAGATGCAGCAGCTCACGGTGGGCAGCAAGCAGATGGGGTGAACGTTATGCAATTCACAACCCATACCCCATACCCCATACCACTTGTGCCCGTCTGTCGCTCACAGGAGGGCGTCAGGGCAGTGCGACGGTACAGAGGGCGGTGGAGCAGATGCAGCAGCTGACGGTGGGCAGCAGCAAGCAGATGACCAAGAAGGACCGCCTGTCCCAGCGCCTGGCGTTCCGGGAGATTTTAGGGTCTATCAGGGTGAGTGAGTAGCTGTGATGCCGTTCTTGATCAGCTTGGGTGCATGGGTGCATTGGTGCATGGGGGGTTGCATGGGTGCATGGGGGGGAGCGCAACAGTCAACGAGGTGCAGCAGCTGACGGTGGGCAGCAGCAAGCAGATGACCAAGAAGGACCGCCTGTCCCAGCGCCTGGCGTTCCGGGAGATCCTCGGGTCCATTCGGGTGAGTCACTCTCTGTGATGCTTTCTGGATGATCCTGATTGCACGGGTGCACTGGTGCATGGGTGCGTGGGTGCATGGGGGGGTGGAACAGTCAGTGAGATGCAGCAGATGACAGTGGGCGGCAGCAAGCAGATGAGCAAGAAGGACCGACTTTCCCCGCGCCTGGCGTTTCGAGAGTTCCTCGGATCCATCCGGATGAGTCTCGGATGCTTGCTGTCCCTATAGCAGTGTGAGGGAGAGATGGCTTTTGAGTCGACTCAAAAGTCACTTCGAGAGATTTTCAGATTCAACAGGATACTCGCTGTCCCTATAGCAGTGTGAGGGAGAGGGTAGCAGTTAACGCTTCCCAGCATGAACGTCTGCTGCTCTGAACTGCTCCTTCCCCCCCCTTCGCCCCTCATCAGGGCAACGGGCGTTGCTTTGGGACAATCATCAGGCTGAAGCACGGCAACCCTGCTTCCCTCCCATCCACACCTTCCCACCCCTTCCCACCCCCTCCCACCCTCTCCCACCTCCTCCCGCCCCCTCTCGTCCTCATCAAGACAGCGGGCGTTGCTCCGAGACGGTGATCAAGCTGGACGTCCTCTTGAAAGGAATGCGGGGCTTCTTCTGAATATCTTCTCAAAGCTCCACGTCCGTCCACCCTTTTCCACCCCTCTCATCCTCATCAGGACAACGGGCGATGCTCAGAGACTGTCATCAGGCTGAAGCACGGCGACTCACTGCGCGTCGACACGTGGACGCTGACAGTGCAGGTGAGCGGTCGACACGTGCACGATGCCATAAAGAAAGGCGTGTGCTCGACAGATGGTATTACCTGCCCTTTATCATGTTGTGCTTCTAACCCGATTTTGGCATCCCCACTCCTCTTTCTGACGCCTTGCTCTCTGACTCTGTATCTTCATTCCGTCTCACCTTCTGCCCTGCTTCTTCCCGTCCCATTCCCCGTCCCTTGTCCAGCTGAATGCTCTCCGGAGGTTCCTAGCAGACGGCTTCCAACGCCATTTGCAGGTGCGACCCCTCCTCCTGCTCTCCTCCCCCCAGCCCTCCTCCCTCCTCCCTCCTGCTCTCCTCCCTCCTGCCCTCATCTGGTCTTCCCTCCTGCCCTCATCTGGTCTTCCCTCCTGCCCTCATCTGGTCTTCCCTCCTGCCCTCCATCCCTTGACCGGCCAAATGCTCTTCGGAGGTTCCTAGCAGACAGCTTCCAACGCCACCTGCAGGTGAGAGCGCCCTCCTCCTCCCTCCCTGCATGCCTCCTCCTTCCCATCCCTCCTCCCTCCCTGCCCTCCTCTCATCCCGCTCTTCCTCCTACTGCTCCTTCATCAAAGTTCCTGGCACGATCGATTCGTTACACAAACAGTCTCTTGCTCTTACAGGGCTTCACACAGTCAAATCAACGCATATTTTCGGCACCAGCAACAGGGATGGGGGGGTGCCCATCCTCCCTGTCTCTCACAGTCACTGTGACTGCGGTGCCAACATTGACTGGGTCAGCTGCACTGCTCCCTGAGGCTGCTGAACCGGTTTCGTGAGACTGCATTGACGGTTTTTCAAGCCGCTTTGGTGGTTTTTCTAAGCTGCCTCGGCGGGTTTTCAAACTATCTTTGCGGTTCTTGAGACTGCTTCTGGCGGTTATGAGGGCGGCTGTGGGGGGCCGTAGGCTGGGCTGAATTCGTTGGCAGCAGCACGTGTTGACCATGGGTCCTTGTGGCCAATGAGTCAACGCGTCTGTAGCTGCTGATGCCAGACTCCCACCCACATGCCTTGGGATGGTTCAGGATAGCGCCCATTCCCCCATCCCATCAATGCAACGAGATGGTCTCGTTGGGCCTGCGAAAGGGATGGTCTTCATTACGCCTTCATCAGCCCTGCCGCTACCAGCTACCATTTGCACTACTCATGTCTAAATTTATCGCCCATTTGCGCTCTCTCCCTCCCTCCCTTCTTCTCTCCTGCCCTCTCCTGCCCTCTCCTGCCCTCTCCTGCCCTCTCCTGCCCTCGCTCGTGAATCACACAGTTCTGGGCATTAACAGCTCGTTTTTTGTGAACCATCTCAATCCTCACACTCAGTTCACCTCAATCCTCTATTCCACCCGCAGCACATGTTCTCGTCTCATCGGCACCAGCAGCAGGGATGGGAAGGCTCCGATGCTCCCCATCCCTCCCAGTGACCTCATCCTTGTGGTGCTGTCACTGCGGTGCCAACACTAATGGGGTCCGCTGCACTGCTCCTTAGGACTGCCTCTGTAGTTCTTAAACTGCCTTGACGGTTTTTTTGGACTGCCTTGGCAGTTTTTACGAACTGCCCAGGCGGTTCTTCAGACTGTCCTGGCTGATTTTATGAACCACCTTTGCAGTTCTGAGGGCAGCTGTGGCGGTTTCCTAGGCTGGGCTGAATTCGTTGGCAGCAGCATGTGTGGGCCATGGCTCCATGAGTCCATGAGTCAACGCGTCTGTAGCTGCTGATGCCAGACTCCCACCCACATGTCTTTAGGGTCTGAAACACACTAGTGCAGCAGCTGTGGCAGCCCCGAGGCTGGGCTGAATTCGTTGGCAGCAGCACTTATGGTGTAGGCCATGGCTCCATGAGTCCATGAGTCCACCTACATGAGTCCACCTACATGAGTCCACCCACGTGTGTCTGTGGCTGCTGATGCCAGACTCCCACCCACACCGCCGATAGACACTCTGAGTCACACTCACACACGCCCCTGCCAGGAGAACGAGTTGCTGCACCAGCTGTTGAGTTACCAGCTACCTCTGGCACATGAGTCCGCTTCATCCCCTCCCTCCCAACCCCATTCCATCCCTCCACCCCCCTCACACACTTGCACCAGGAGAACAAGTTGCTGCACCAGGTGTTGCATGGAGGATAAGGAGGTTTTCCAAACCCACCCTTCCCCCCCCCCTCCCTCCCCTCTCCCCCTGCGCCCCCGCCCCCCTTCCGCCCTCCCCCGTCCCACTTCCGCCAGGAGAACGAGTTGCTGCACCAGGTCTTCAGCTACCAGCCTCGCATGGAGAAGAAGGAGGTCTTCCAAACTGCCGTGCAGAAGGTGAGTGAGCGGTGGGCAATGGCGGGCAGTGGCAGGCAGTGGTGGGCAGTGGCGGGCAGTGGCGGGCAGTGGCGGGCAGTGGCGGGCAGTGGCGGGCAGTGGCGGGCAGTGGCGGGCAGTGGCGGGCAGAGATGGGCAGTGGTGGGCAGTGGCGGGCAGTGGCGGGCAGTGGTGGGCAGTGGCGGGCAGTGGCGGGCAGTGGCGGGCAGTGGCGGGCAGTGGCGGGCAGTGGCGGGCAGTGGCGGGCAGTGGCGGGCAGTGGCGGGCAGTGGCGGGCAGAGATGGGCAGTGGTGGGCAGTGGCGGGCAGTGGCGGGCAGTGGTGGGCAGTGGCGGGCAGTGGCGGGCAGTGGTGGGCAGTGGCGGGCAGTGGCGGGCAGTGGCGGGCAGTGGCGGGCAGTGGCGGGCAGTGGCGGGCAGTGGCGGGCAGTGGCGGGCAGTGGCGGGCAGTGGCGGGCAGTGGCGGGCAGAGATGGGCAGTGGCGGGCAGTGGCGGGCAGTGGCGGGCAGAGATGGGCAGTGGCGGGCAGTGGCGGGCAGTGGCGGGCAGTGGTGGGCAGTGGCGGGCAGTGGCGGGCAGTGGCGGGCAGTGGCGGGCAGTGGCGGGCAGTGGCGGGCAGTGGCGGGCAGTGGCGGGCAGTGGCGGGCAGTGGCGGGCAGAGATGGGCAGTGGTGGGCAGTGGCGGGCAGTGGCGGGCAGTGGCGGGCAGAGATGGGCAGTGGCGGGCAGTGGCGGGCAGTGGCGGGCAGTGGCGGGCAGTGGCGGGCAGTGGCGGGCAGTGGCGGGCAGTGGCGGGCAGTGGCGGGCAGTGGCGGGCAGAGATGGGCAGTGGTGGGCAGTGGCGGGCAGTGGCGGGCAGAGATGGGCAGTGGTGGGCAGTGGCTGGCAGTGGCGGGCAGAGATGGGCAGTGGTGGGCAGTGGTGGGTAGTGGTGACAAAGCACAGCTCTGCACAGTTGCCTTGCGTGGAGGAGGTTTTCCAAACCGCCGTGTAGAAGGTGAGGGAGGGAGGGGAGGGGGGTGCAGTGGCCAAAGTGGGAGGTGATGTTCTCGAATCTTCAAAAGCTGTGCCAAAGCTGAGTTAAATTGCATCCTCCCCCAATCCTCCCCTCCCTCCACACCCCCCCCACCTCCATATCCTCCCCTCACTCCACACCTTCCTCCCTTTTTCCCTACTTGTGCCCCCCCTCCCCTCCCTTTCCCTCAGCGTATGATCCTCTCTCCCAACTCTGAGGCCAGCCGTAACCGCTCCGTGGCTCGCAGGCGCAGCCGTCTCGCAGCACAGGTCAGTCCAAGTCAACGCTGGTCAGTGCAAGTCAATGAAGATCAAGTCAGGTCAGGCGCAGCCGTCTCGCAGCGCAGGCCAGCTCCAGTCAATGCTGGTCAATTCAGGTCAGGCGCAGCCGAATTGCAGCACGCTCCAGTCAATGCTGGTCAATTCAAGTCAACGCTGGTCAATTCAGGTCAGGCGCAGCTGAATTGCAGCACAGGTCAGTTCAAGTTAACGCTGGTCAATGAACCAATTATACTCTCTTGTTTACCAATATACAATAACAGTTTTGTTTTCTGCCCTCCTGGTTGTGCCACTCCTTTTCCTGCCCTCCTTGCATCGCTTCCCTCTCCTCTCACTTCTCTCTGCCTCTCCGTTTCCTGACCCTGCCTCTTGCTGCCTGATCTGCCTTGCAGGAAAGCAACTTTGCTTTTTTCGCTCATGACGACTGACCTTGGAAACACATTCAGCCACAAATTACCGTACCATCTTTTTGAAATAGCAGTGTACATTCAACGCAACTCTCCTCTTGCACACCCTCAAAAACCAAAACCCCTTAATATGCGTTCGTGAAACGAGCCGACAATGATCACGATGGTAAACTTGAATTGAAACTTCTCCCACCCGTATTATGGAGACCCATTATAGGCAAGGCAACATGCATGCCTTGCAATTTGCACCCCAGCTTTGGCAAAATAATTTTGTGATTTTTGATAGAGCTGGGTTGTGGGCAATCTGATGTTTATCTTATAAAGTCAATAGCTATAACACAATATAATGCAATAAGAATCCACCCTCATGAGATGGGATTTGGTAGTTTTGACACATGCAAACGAATAACTGTACAGTCCGATTTATTTTCCTGCCACTATGTCCAATTTGCGTGTTCACATCGAGGTTTGGCGTGGGGAGGTTTCATCAGGGGACCAGCAATTCGGAGGGGGACGGCACCAATGTGTGGGCTTTCCGTTTCGTTCTAAAATCCAACCAACCAACCAACCAAACAACCAACCAACCAGGGGAAAGTCGTCCCTCCACTGCCCAGATGCAGTTTAGACATGATGCTCATCAGCCCCTGCCCGTAAAATTGCCATCTATACAATTTTTTCCGTCGCGAAGTTGACGAGGCAGGCGTAGAGCATGCGCTCGCTTCCGTCTTGCGTGCGTCTGATCAGCGTGTGTACTGCATTTCAAGGGCCGACAACGGGTCAGCTGGCGTCCGTTCACGTGAGCTGCCCGTAGGCGAAAAAACATAAAATACACAAGGAAGGCATGCTCTTGAGGAGGCATCAACCCGTGTTGGAGGTTGCGTGCTCCCATGCGGGTTTAATTTCTCATTTTCCCCCCTGTCAGGTGCTGGAGGTTTCGTGTTCCGTGGTCAGGTGTTCCCGCAGGTCAGGTCTTGGAGGTTCCGTGTTCCCGCGGCCACGTGGATGGACCGCACATGCCGTGCCACATATCCAGGTGCGTGATGTTCGGGGAAGAGCTGAGCTGGGGGTGGTAGGGCACAACCGCACAGAGGATTGAAGCTTAAAAAAAGAATTAAAAATAGCAGTCGTTTCAGGAAGTACTTTACTCCCTAAAACAAGTCACTTCTACGTTGTAACACCTGTTCGTGAGTTTGGTTTCTCGCCAAACTTTGCAAGCTGAATTCAGGGTTTAGCACCCCCTACGACGAGTTGGTCATTTGTAAATATCGCCGACATGCTGTCAAGTTAGTTGTTTAGAACTTTACCACTATAGACTAGGGTTTTAACCATCAAATGTACTTCTTATTGTGAATCCAAGCAGGAATTACTTGTTTTGTTTAGGAGCATTCACTCTCATTTTTGGACTCGAACGCCGGGAGAGCAGCCAGTTCGTCGAACCTGCCGAATCGTCGGCAACAGACCAGCAATCTACACCTGTTGTCCTTTCCAGTCAGTTTTTGTAGCGCTCTCTACACTCTCATCGCTTCATCCATCAGACTCCAATTGGATTCGTTCTTAAAAGGGCTCAACAGCGTTACCATTTCGACTACAGTCTCTAAAATTTGTTTACCAGCGTGTTTTGCGTGAGAATTATGAGAAACCTACTCGCGTTTCAGCGGAACAGTGCTTTTAGCGTTGAATCACGTTTCTAATGATTTGGATAATTCCCCGTAACTAGTCAACTATGAGACTGTTGAATTAACAACTGGCAGTTCAGCGGCATTAAGTGTAGACATTGACATTTCAAATAAGCTATTACTGGCCCTCTCTATCAGGTTCGGCAGACCAAACAGTCTTGGCTGGCATCAATTATTAGCGTTCCCAATCCACACCCCTGCCCCTCCGTCACTAGTAGTTCAACAGTCAGCCTGGTAGCACTTCACTGAACAGGCAGTCTCTGTAAGCACCACGCTGATGGAGGAAGCAACCCACACGCGTTGCCAATGGCTGTTGATTTGGCTCGCCGTCACCATCGTTCCCCACTTATTGGTAAGGTCAAGACTATGGAGCTATCTAGTACCGCTTATGATATTGCACCGCTGATATTGGTAATACCGCGGCACATCATTTTGTCGCGTTTCTCTGCCCTTTTGTTCGTTCTCAATTTTCCTCTTCCTCCTCTTTCTTTACCTTTCATATGTAATTTCCCGTGTATACTTAAAACGTTTGTCTGTCTTTTTGTGACAGGTTGATGCCAGGCCCAGCAAGTCTCAGACTCCTGAGTGGACGCACCTCGAGAACTCCCATAACCTCCAATTCCGTGGCGGCAGCGGTGATCATGCATTGACTACTACCAACTCGTCCGAGACTCCTAACAGCCCGCCACGGGAATCAGTGGAGCGGCTATACGAGGCTGGATTCGGGTCATGCGGCTTTCCAGATATTGCTGACGACAGAGAGTGCGTAGCAGATCTCGCAGCCTACCCCGAGCTGAATGTGCATAGCGGTTCCCCCACCGTGCGCCGCTTGGCGTGCCTGGCGCACACCTATCTGCGCCCGTGGATGGGCATCCCCGGGGTGAAAAAGGGCATGGGGGCGCGAGGAATGATCAGCCCGCGTCTTCTCAATCGGATGGGACGCATGGCCAGCGTGAGTAACTCCCACTCATCTCCTACTCATTCCTAGTAGTACTAGTAGTCTGTAAAGAGGTAGGTGAGCTTATGCCATCCCCTTTCACGGAAGAGTTTTCCCACAATGCCGCCTCCTTCCGTTTGGCTGACCCAGCATGACTCCCGGTGTACTCATGAACGTTCAGGTGCCTAAACCATCTGAAGCGGGGTAATAATTCTTCCCTTCATTCCCCTCTATTGGACTGTGAACACGCAGGTGCTCTCGTGCTCCGGACACGTGCGCATAGTCAACGGGGAGATCTTCTTCCGCCTCGGTGGCTTCGAGTTCTTTTGGTACCGCATGCGCCGCTTCGTCTTTTCAATCCTCATGATCAAGGAGGCCATTGCAAAGTACAACCTGCACTCTCTCAGCGCCGAGTTCTTCATCAGCACCTGCGACATGCACGTCAGCAAAGCCTCTTCCATCGCCGATCGCCGCGCCGGCCTCCCCATTTTCAGCCCGCACGGCGCGCCTGGCAGCATCGACATACTCTACCCCGACCCGGTGGATCTAAGCAAGAGTTATTTCCATACCGGGGAGGATGCTGTGCCGTGGGAACAGAAGCAGAGCCGGGCCGTCTTTCGCGGCGGGATGACCAACTTCCACGTCAGCTACGACACGCAGTGGCGAGCCAGCCCTCGGTTCCGCGTGCATCGGATGTCTCAATTGCGTCCCGACATCCTCGACGCAAAGGTTGTTGAGAACCACCTGAACGCGGCTGTGAATGGGGAGCTTCTAGAGAGCTTGCGGCAGGATGGGATCGAGATGGGCGAACGCCTCGATCCGTCGCAGCAGCTGGGGTACAAGTATGAGCTGGATGTTGATGGGGGGACCGGCAGCGGACGCGTGTGCAAGATCCTGTCAAGCAAACAGATGATGATCAAGCAGATGAGCGAGTACTCTCAGTACTTTGACCCCCTACTGTGTCCCAACCAGCACTTTGTCCCCACACACCGATACTTCTCCAATCTGTACCAGCAGATCGAATGGGCACGGGACCACGACCAGGAAGCGCAGCAAATCGTGAAGCAGGCCAATCAGCTTGCGGGCGAGGTGTGCACGTGGGAAAGCCGTCGCCTCTACTGGGCGATTCTACTGGTCAAGTATGCAGCCAGCGCTATGGAACACCCCAGCCAAGTCGTTCGCCCGGACACGTACCAGTGCGAGACTCGTCTTATCCAAGATGACGTGGAGAACAACTCAGTTTGCTCGAAACAGAAGCCGGATGTTTGGCCTCCTAGGTGCAAGACACCAGATGAGGACACAAACCAGCCACAGTGCACACATTTCTGTGTGGGGAACATGTTTGAGACCAAGTGGAAATGGCTCACAACGGATATTCTGGATGATATCCAGGTTTTTAAGCCCAAGAGTATCTAGTTTAGAGGTATGGCAAGGAAATGGTAATGAAAGTGCTCCACTCTATATCATATGTAACAGTACGATGCATCTTGTCCGTGCTCATGTTGATATGTACTTTTTGTGACATGGTAAGATGCTCAGTTAATCATCCATACTACGGTCATGACACATCTGAATGGGATGGGAACTGAAATAAGGGTGAAGAAGCAGAATGAGGGCATGAGAAGGAAACTGATGGGAGAGTAGAATGATTGGGTGCAAGGAGGGTAGAAGGAAAAGGAAGGGGAGAGGAGGGAGGGTTAGAGATGATTCTGGAAAATGAGTGACAGAAGTATGATATCTGGTATGGGGAGCAACGGATGGCGAAGAAGAAGGGGGGGAAGGAAGGAGAGGGAAGGAAGAGGGAGGAAGAGAGAAGTTTTCACCCGAAAATGAATTATGGTTTTGTTGTTGCGGATCAAGCTGGTACCGTTTAAGTGGTAAAATCAGCGTGGGTGGTGCAAGCTCCATGCAAGAACCACATGGGCTGGTGCCTGCTCCATGCCACATGGGCTGGTCAGTGTACCATGCCCATGTTCCATGCCTCACATTGGCTTGTCAGTGTACCATGCCCATGTTGCATGCCTCACATTGGCTGCTCAATGTACCATGCCCATGTTGCATGCCTTACATTGGCTTCTCAATATACCACATTGGCTGGTCAGTGTACCATGCCCATGGTGCATGCCTCACATTGGCTGGTCAATGTACCATGCCCATGGTGCATGCCTCACATTGGCTGGTCAATGTACCATGCCCATGGTGCATGCCTCACATTGGCTGGTCAATGTACCATGCCCATGGTGCATGCCTCACATTGGCTGCTCAATGTACCATGCCCATGGTGCATGCCTCACATTGGCTGGTCAATGTACCATGCCCATGGTGCATGCCTCACATTGGCTGGTCAATGTACCATGCCCATGGTGCATGCCTCACATTGGCTGCTCAATGTACCATGCCCATGTTGCATGCCTCACATTGGCTTCTCAATATACCACATTGGCTGCTCAATGCCTGCCCGTGTTGCATGCCTCACATGGGCTGCTCAATGTACCATGCCCATGTTGCATGCCTCACATGGGCAGGTTCAACACCATCTATGCTTCATATAGGCTGGTGCCTGATCCATAATCCCATGCCCCAGATGTGCAGGTCCATGCACCACCCAGCATATAGCATGGTGCAAGCTCCATACCCCATATGAGATGGTGCAAGCTCCGTACTTTAAAGCTCAAGGCCCGAATTGCGGGCCGCGCTGGGCAATATTACTAATCTTGCGCAGCTGTTGTTTTGGTGCTGTGGTTCAGCGAATGTTGGGTTACGATAGGTACGAATGAATCTGATTGGTCGAGGCCAATCTCACTGCAGAAACTTCAACTTTCAGTATTTCTCAATTTGGGACTCTCGGACCCAAACAGAATGTTTGCCTTGGGGTTTGCTGACTCAGCGAGTGTTGCGAGAGCTTGTGCGAAATAAGTCAACCCCACCCTCCCAACACTTTCTTGACCAGCCCAAACCCTTGCGCAAGATTACTAACCTTGCGCAATTTGGGCCTTGAGCTTTAAATGAGATGGTGCAATCTCCATGCCCCACATGAGTTGGTGCAAAATCCATACCCCATATGAGATGGTGCAAGCACCATGCCTGTCCCATATGGCTTGATTCAAGATCATCTCTCAGAAAGGTGGTACAAGGTCTATTCTTGGGAAAGCTTGGTGCACACACCATGCATACCCTATATGGTCTGTTTCAAGCACAATTTATGCTCCATATGGGCCGGCACCTGCCCTGTATGGCTGGTGCAAGCACCATACAACTGTTTCAGTATTGATTTTTGTCAACAACAATTTGCCCTTATGGGCTGGTTCAAGCTCCTCTCCACATGTAAGTTGGTCCAGGCGCCATGCGTGTGCCACGTGATGCGGTGCTAAGAGATGTGAAAACACCATGCCCCACATGAGATGGTCTGAGTACTGTCCATGCCACATACAGGTTGGCACAAGGTTCATGCATGTTGCAAACAATTTACTGTCAAACCTGAGTTGTCTGGGGTGTGTGTGTGTGTATGTGTGTGTGTGTGTGTGGGTGTGTGTGTGGGTGTGTGTGTGGGTGTGTGTGTGTGTGTGTGTGTGCATCGAATAGAACCTTTGCCCATATGGGCTGGTGCAAGCTCCGTTTCTGAAGTGTGAGGGTTTAGGCACCACTCATGTCCCATATGGGCTGGTACAAGCAGCATGTTCCTTATTGCATGGTGCAAGCAGCAGAACATGGGCTGCTGCAAATTTTATGCCCCACATGAGATGGTGCAACCAGTATTCATGTCCCATATGGGCTGGTGCAAGCACCACTCCCCAAATGTTCCAAGCACCGTTTTAGCATATGAGCTGGTGCAAGGACCACACTTGGCCCATTCGTTTTTGCAAGCAACATGAATGAGCCTTATGGGATCATGCAAGCACCATGCATGACCCATATGGGATCGTGCAAGCAGCATGCAATTCTTATGTGGGTTGGTGCAAGCGCCATGCATTCTCCATATGGGCTCAGGCAAGCACCATGCATGCCCCATATTGCTTGTGCAAGGATGATGCATGCCTCATATGGGTTGGTGCAAGGACCATGCATCCCCATATGGGCTCGTGCAAGCATGATGAATGCCTCATATGGGTTGGTGTTTGCACCATGCATGCCCCATATATGCTCGTGCAAGCACCATGCGTGCCCCATATGGCTGGTGCAAGCACCATGCATGCCCCATATGGATGGTTCAAGCACCATGCATGGCTCGTGCATGCACCATGCATGCCCCATATGGGCTCGTGCAAGCACGATGCATGTCTCGTATGGGTTGGTGCATGCACCATGCATGCCCCTTGTGGGCTCGTGCAAGCACCATGCATGCCCCATATAGGCTCGTGCAAGCACCATGCATACCCTATATGGGATTGCGCAAGCGCCATGCATGCCCCGTATGTGCAAGCACCATGGGTGTCCCATATGGGTTGGTGCAAACACCATGCATCATATAAGCTGGTGAAAACATCACACATGCCCCATATGGGTTTGTTGCAAGACCCAAGAACCATGCACAGTTTTCCATTTTGCAAACACCATGCTGCATATGAGCTGGTTCAAGCACCACTCATGCCCCAAACAGGCTCGTTTCTTAATACTCTTGTGAGTTGGCAAAAAAACAAAAAAAAAAAAAACAAAAAAAAACAAACAAACAAAAAAGGACGGGGAGGTGGAGGCGGGGAGGGGGGTGCAATCACCATGCATGCCCCATATGGGATGTGCAAGCAACACATGCGCCGCATCTGGGCTGTTGCAAGCTCCGCTCCTTATCAACTACGCAAGTACCGTGTTTGCCCTATATGGGCTGGTGCACGCACCATGCATGCCCCATATGAGATTGTGCAAGCACCATAAATACCAGGCCCCATTCCTTGCATGAGAAGGTCAAAACAGCATTCATGCCCCGTATGGGCTGGACCAAGCGCCATGCTTGCCCCATATGGGCTGGTGCAAGCGCCATGAGTACTACGCTCCGTTCCTTGTATGAGAAGGTTCAAACAACATGCATGCCCCATATGTGCTGGTGCAAGCACTTTGCATACCCCATATGGGCTGTTATCGCAAACTCCGTTCCTTTCTTAGGAAGGTCCAAGCACCATGCATGCCCCATATGGGCTGGTTCAAAGACCATGCATACCATACATGCGATGGTGCAAGCAACACGCATGCCCCATATGGTCGACTGCACGCTCTATTTCTCAAACAGGCTTGTGCAAGCTCCATGCATGCCCTGTACGGGCTGTTGCAAGCAGCATACATCCCCCATATGGCTTGTTACAAGCACCACACACCATACATGCCCCACATAGGCCTGTGCAAGCACCATGCATGCCACATATGGGCTAGTGCAAGCTTTCTTTCTCCATTAGGTTGTCCCAAGCACCATCCATGCCCCATAATTTTAGGTCCAAGCTCCATGCACCACATGGTATTATCTAAAAACCATCCATACTCCATAAGGGCAGGTGCAAGCACCATGCATGGCCCATATAGGCTACCATACATGCAAAACATGGGCTAGTGCAAGCTCAATTTTCCAATGAGGTTGCTCCAAGCACCATGCATGCCCCATATTTTCGGGTCCGAGCTCCATGCACCGCATGAAATTATTTAAATAACATCTATAACCTGGTTTCCAATGAGGACCAGTGAGGTTTAGGTCCTGGTCTTGTACAGCTAAGGACTTCCCGCACGCCCTGCAGCACGCGTGCTGCCCTGCTCGCGCAGCCCTGCAGCCCGCGTGCTGCCCTGCCCTGCAGCCCGTCTACCCTGCGGCACATGCTGACCTGCTGCCCGCGTGCCTGCGCTGCCCGTGCCCTGCGCGCCTTGCTGCTCGTGTGCCCTGCTGCCCACGCACCCTACTGGCCTCCACATCCACTCCAAAAGTCGCTACTGCTGTTGCAGCCACGGCGACTACCATTACTGCTACAGCTGCAGCTACAGCTGTCGCTTCTGGCGCCCTTGCGCCGCTGCGACTGACTGCCACTGCCTGTCATGGCCACCATCACGGTCGTAGCAGCGTCTGGCGGTGGACAGCAGCAGCGTCATCCGGAGACTCTATTGCCACAGCGGCTTCGGGAGTGGGTTATTCGGCGAGGCCGCTCTGGTGCTGGAGCTTGGGATGCTGGAGGTACTGGACAGCAGCGGCAGTCTCGTTGTCAGGAGACTCTCTCGCCACAACAACTTCGTGAGTGGGTTATTCAGCGAGGTCGTCCTAGTGGTGGAGGTTATGGTGCTGGAGGTACTGGACAGCAGCGGCAGCAGCGTCAGCAAGAGACCCTCTCGCCGCAGCAGCTTCGCGACTGGGTTTCTTAGCGACGCAGCCCTGGTAGTGCAGAGGCTACTAGTCTAGGTGCCTACGAGCCTGGTAGCACAGGTGCAGCTTCTGTAAAGACTTTGCA